CCATTTCAGATTTCAATCCTAGATTGAAGAGGAATTGCAATTTTCGCCCGAAATATTCAACTTTTTTTTTTTTTTTTTTTTGAGACAGAGTCCTCGCTCTGTTGCCAAGGCTAGAATGCAGTGAAGGAATCTCAGCTTACTGCTACCTCCACCTCCGTGGTTCAAGCGATTCTTGTGCCTCAGCCTCCTGAGTTGCTGGGATTACAGGCACGCACCACCACACCTGGTTAATTTTCGTATTTTTAGTAGATAATGGGTTTTGCCGTGTTGGCTAGGCTGTTCTCAAACTCCTGACCTCAAGTGATCCACCCACCTCGGCCTCTCAAAGTGCTGGGATTACAGGCATGAGCTACCACACCAGGCCCAGACTAGTCTTAAAAAATCACGGCTCACTAGCTGTGTGACCTTAGGCATATTAGCTCACCTGTCTGACCTGTCTCATCAACTATAAAGCGGGATAACGAAATCTACTCCATGGAACTGTTGTGAAGATTCAGAAATGTGTGTAAAGGATTTAGCATGTTGCCAGGCACATGGTACCCTATTACCCTGTGACCTCTTTAGGAGGCTATAACTTTCAGACTCCCTTACTACCAACCTTCAAAGCTCAGAAGAGTTCTGGAAACCATCTCCAGGGCATCCCACTTGTTCCCTTCCTCCACAGGTGACAGCCTTTTTTTTTTTCCTTTTTTCTTATTAGTGCCAGCCTTTTCGATGCCACACCCTACATCCTCACCGGCACCCACATGCTTAGGATCCATGAGCTGCTTCTTTGTCCATCAGTTTCTTCCTTTCAGGCTTGGTGTTATTCCCCTATTTGAGAACTTGGGAAGAACTCCAGGACTCCAGTGATCCTCCCACCTCAGCCTCCTAAGTACCTGAGACTACAGATACACACCACTGCACTGGCTTTGGGATGCATTATATAATAATTATGATAATTAAAAGTTGAGGCCGGGCGCGGTGGCTCACGCCTGTAATCCCAGCACTTTGGGAGGCCGAGGCGGGCGGATCACGAGGTCAGGATATCGAGACCATCCTGGCTAACACGGTGAAACCCCGTCTCTACTAAAAATACAAAAAATCAGCCGGGCGTGGTGGCGGGCACCTGTAGTCCCAGCTACTCGGGAGGCTGAGGCAGGAGAATGGTGTGAAGCCAGGAGGTGGAGCTTGCAGTGAGCCGAGATCGCGCCACTGCACTCCAGCCTGGGCAACAAGAGTAAAACTCAGTCTCAAAAAAAAAAAAAAACAAAAAGAAAAAAAGAAAAGTTGAATGCCCATCATGGACCAGGCTCTATGCCATCCACTTTAACATATCATGTCTGATATAGCAGCCTCCAAAGAGGGTTTTCTGCCCATTTTATAATGAGGAAACAGAAGGTCATCCAGCTAAGACTTTTTTGTTTTTGGTTTTTTTCGAGATGGATTCTCGCTGTCGCCCAGGCTGGAGTGAAGTGGAGGGATCTCAGCTCACTGCAACCTCCCCCTCCCGGGTTCAAGCAATTTTCCTGTCTCATCATCCTCCCGAGTCCAGCTAAGACTTAAACCGGCTCTGTATCAATCCGAATACCATGCTTTCTTGTTTTCTGCTAGAGCTCTGCTTCCCAAGGTAGTCAAAGAAAGTTAAAGAAAAAAAAAAAAGCACATAACTGAAATGAAATTTCACAGATTAGTAGATAGGAAATGGACAAGCTGGGAAAGGGCATTCTAAGGTAGACAAATAGTATTGCCGAGGTAGAGTGTCAGGGAAAATTGGCATGTTTGTTTAATCCTGTAGGTATTTCATACATTTTTGTACCCTAACTAGATTCTGAGCCCTTTTACATCTTCAGTTCAGTGTAGTATAGTGATACACTGTTGTTTATATACCCATCTTAGGAAGGGCTGTGTTGAGATCCTATAGCCTGTGTCATTACTAGCCTCTTGTTCATCTCTCCCTGTCTGCTGTCTCCTCTCCCTTCTTTCCCAGTTATGCTCTTGGTTACTTTTAAGGGCAGGAGAAGAGCAAACACTCTGGAACTATATCAGTACTCAGAATGCCGCTAATGATGGTATCATTTGCTGGAAGCCAAAGACCCAACATCAGAGCCTTGACTTCAATGAGGTCACCTTTAAACCTGGACAAATGGGTTAGTCAGCTCCCCTGGGTGGCTGAGGATAGCAGACGCATCAGTATAAGAAAGAGGGGCTAGTAAGCAGCCAACTCCACAGCCTCCTTAAAGAGTTATTGTTACTGCTTTAAAAAAAAAAAAAAGAGGATAACACTTCCATGAGAACCAAGGACTTTTTATACTTAGAACACATACTGAAAAATCAGGAGGCAGCAGCTAAGCTAAAAGAAGCACCAGATGCCTTCTGGAATGAGTTGCCTTCCTTGCCTCCACAACAGCAGCCAGACTGGACCTCTGGACAACACGGTAAGTGTGACAATCACACTTCCTACATCAGGACCAAGGGTAGGAAGCCACCAGGCTCAGCTTACAAGCCCTGTGAAACCAGAAAAAGCGCATCAGTTAGACCCAGAATTTGGGGGCAGCCACAACCATGTACTTCTCATCCCAAGGAACGTGTCCTGGATCTTTCAAGCAGACAGCATGAAAGTTTCTTCTGTCTCTCTCTCATTTGGGCATTAAATCCTGTATTACTCCCCACCCCTACACACCCCTTCTCCAGGCAATAACCCCAGCCCATATGATCAGGCACTCACCCAAGTAATCGTCCATCAGGGAGCCAATAGCAAACTGCAGGAAAGATGGTAAAAAGAAAGTGAAGCCAAGATGAGCACAGAACCAACCTCTACCCCGCAGCCCCAGGCCTTCTGCCCATCCATCCCTTCTTCCTGACAGAAGAGCATAGAACCCCCTGAAACTGGGTGGCATGAAATCCGACAGCTCTCCGCTCAGCCTGGTATAGGTAGAGGTGGGGAAAAGACTCACAATGTCATTCTTGTCCACACGGGTCCCCACAATCTTTAAGCGGATCTCATCGTCCTGCTGAATCACAATATCCTGGGGAGAGGAGGGAACAGTGTACAGATGGTCCTCAGTTTATGAGAGGTTACATCACAACTACTTCACTGTAAGCCCGGGGGCATATTGAATGCACATCACTTTCGCACCATCGTAAAGTCATAAAATCATGAATCAAGCCATGGTAATTCAGGGACCATCTGTGCTCGGCCATCCCCAGGCCAATATTCTCCCTCAGGATGACTGATTCTCTCTTCCTCTTCCTGACTTCTTTCTGTCCACTTACCTCATCCATTGTCTTGTAACATGGTGGGTTGGAGTTAGGATCAAACTCCATCTCTGAAGGGATGGACTGAAAGGAAAGTGAGATTAGGGTAGCACTTTAAAAGGATGCTTCAGCAGATGGTAATGAATGGGTATCTCTCTTCCTCAGCCCCACCCAGTGTGCCTAGACTTACATGTCGAGAGATGAAGCAAGACATGGGTCCAATTTCTGTGAAGAGTCCAACCTAGAAAAAATGAGTGATCTTATGGTCATGCACGGTGGCTTATGCCTATAATCCCAGCACTTTGGGGGGCCGAGGCGGGTGGATCATGAGGTCATAAGTTCAAGACCAGCCTGACCAACATGGTGAAACCTTCTCTCTGCTAAAAATACAAAAATTAGCTGGGTTTGGTAGCGCACCTGTAATCCCAGCTACTCAAGAGACTGAGGCAGGAGAATCGTTTGAACCTGGGAGGCGGAGGTTGCAGTGAGCCAGATCTCGCCATTGTACTCCAGCCTGGCAACAGAGCAAGACTCCGTCTCAAAAAAAAAAAAAAAAAAAAGAGTGATCTTGCTTTTTCTTTGTCCCCTCAAGTGTTGTGTTTTTGTTTTTTGCTTTCTAAATTTTGAGACAGGTTCTCACTGTTGCCCAGGTTGGAAAGCAGTGGTGTAATCACAGCTCACTGTACCTTTGAATTCCTGGGCTCAAGCAATCCTCCCACCTCAGCCTTCCAAGTAGCTGAGACCACAGGTGCACACCACCATGCTAGGCTAAGTTTTTAAAACTTTTTGTAGAGACAGAGTCTTGCTATGTTGCCCAGGCTGGTCTCAAACTCCTAGGCTCAAGCAATCTTCCCACTTCTGCCTCCCAAAGCACTGGGATTATAGGTGTAAGCCAGCACACCCAGCCCTTTTCTCTTTTTTTTTAAGCTTTCATTTGTATTTATTTATGTATTTACTTTGAGACAGAATCTCGCTCTGTTGTCCACTCTGGAGTGCAGTGGTGCAATTTCAACTCACTGCAACCTCCACCTCCCAGGTTCAAGTGATTCTCATGCCTCAGCCTCCCGAGTAGCTGGGACTACATGCACATGCCACGATGCCTGGCTAATTTTTGTATTTTTAGTAGAGATAGGGTTTCACCATATTGGCCAGGCTAGTCTTGAACTCCCAACCTCAGGTGATCTGCCCACCTCAGCCTCCCAAAGTGCTGGGATTACAGATGTGAGCCACCATGCCCAGCCTAACCTTTCATTTTAAAGTATTAAAGAGCTTAGGCCTGTTAGTCCAAGATTTGAACACCTGTTGGCCACATGATCTTGGCCAATACACTTAACTTCTTCTAAGTTTCAGCTTCTGTAAAAAGCACCCACTGGCCGGGCGCAGTGGCTCACGCCTACAATCCCAGCACTTTCGGTGGCTGAGGCAGGCAGATCACCTGAGGTCGGGAGTTTGAGACCAGCCTGACCAACATGGAGAAACCTCATCTCTACTAAAAATACAAAAATTAGCTGAGCGTGGTGGCGCATGCCTATAGTCCCAGCTACCTGGGAGGCTGAGGCAGGAGAATCACTTGAACCCAGAGGCAGAGGTTGTAGTGAGCCAAGATTGTGCCACTGCACTCCAGTCTGGCGACAGAGCTAAACTCCATCTTAAAAAAAAAAAAAAAAAAAAGGAAAGCACCCACCTTTTAGAGTCATTGTGAGTCTCTGCACTTCACCTGGCCCACAGTCGCTACTCAATCAACACAGGCTTTTATTGTTAAGACTATTAATGTTGACTCTTGCCCTCTGAGTTGGGCAGGGAAGATTACCATACAATTTGAAAGTGCAGCACAAGAAGTAAAGTGATGGCCAGGCATGGTAGCTCACACCTGTAATCCTAGCGCTTTGGGAGGCCGAGGTAGGCAGATTGAGCTCAGGAGTTCGAGATCAGCCTGGGCAACATGGCAAAACCCTATCTCTACTAAAAAAATACAAAAACTTAGCCGGCCATGGTGGCACCTGCCTTTAGTCCCAACTACTTGGGAGGCCGAGGCAAGAGACTCACTGGAACCCAGAAGGCAGAGGTTTCAGTGAGACAAGATGGCACCACTGCACTCCAGCCTGGGCGACAGAGCAAAACTCTGTCTCAAAAAAAAAAAAAAAAAAGAAGTAAAGTGACTTAGCTGAAGGCACAGTTATGAAGTGGAGCCAGGACCCAACCCAGATCTACTGAGAGACTACCCCAATGCCTCCCCTACGTATGGTCTCACCTTGTTGACCTGAGTTACAACAGCATCCACGACCTCCCCTTTAAAGGGCCGGAAAACAATGGCCTTGTACTTAACTGGATAAAGGACAAAGCCTCGGCCTGGCTGGATCACACCAGCACCAATATTGTCAATGGTGGTGACAGCAATTACAAAGCCATACCTGCAAGGAGGATGAGAAACAGAAAGACATTGTGTGTCCAAGAGCCTCTAGAGACATCTGCAATAAAAGTCACTGAGCTCTTGGGAGTAGTGTCGGGGAGAGCAAAAGGACAAGTAGATAGCACCTCTGCTCCCAGAGAGCTTAATGACCAAGACAAGACAGAACACAGATCAGTATGGGCTGGGCGCGGTGGCTCAAGCCTGTAATCCCAGCACTTTGGGAGGCCGAGATGGGCGGATCACGAGGTCAGGAGATCGAGACCATCCTGGCT